TTATTTAAATCGTTTCCATAAGGGAGATACTCTTGCCAAATTCCTTAAATACTGTCTAAAAATGGAATACCTAACAGTGAGTTTTTTACGGCTTATCATTAGTGTCGATTAGTTTCATCACGTATGATGGATATATGTCTTTTTAAAAATATCTTTCATTGCCCGACTATCTGCCCTAGTTAAATCTCATAATTTCTGTTACACCTTTCAGATTTCTTATACTGTTGATCTCGATTCTTACTGTCAAATCTTCTATCGTGTATGAAATTCTTAGGTTTATGCTATTTTCTACTGACTGATCGGATTTCTAATCTGTTGTAGATCTTTACAACCGATCATAAATCATATTAATAAACAGAACACCAGATTCTTTCAGTTTTCCTCTCAATTATTTTCTCTCTATGTTTACTTTTAGAGGTTGGATGTCTGGCGCGAAAAGCGTCGTCAAGCCTTACGCAATGCAGCAACTAAGTTCGCTTTACTACAAGACCGAGCGTGACAAAGTAGAGAGAACGAAAGGCACGAAAAGAAGAAGTAAAAGAATCTGCCTTACGCACTTAAGCCAAGTATGTAAAATGAGTAACTGTACGTTCACTTAAAATATTTTCCAATCCAAAACGAGCAACACAATCGAAAGTAATCGGGAATTAAGTAGTCCATGAAAAATTCTTTATTAGAACTGGACCTCTCGAGTATTTTTATAAGCTTCTATCAAAAGTTTATGATTTATGAAGTTTTTCTGGATACAGTAATAATAATACAATAGCGACATGTTGTAGTTAAGTAGATACTTTAAAATACTTAAAAAATTAGTTAATTTAAAGTGATAAGTTTATAAAATAAAGTTAGCGTTTGATAAGATTTGGAGTTATAATCGTTGCAGAAAAGTGTTGAGCTAGTTCCTTTTGTACAGTCGGTTTGTAATTGTCAACTGCCAAAGTTAGATCTTTTGTCCCGTCTGGGTTGTTGAAATTTTTGTGACATACATATGTGATGAAGATACTGTGTTTGATAGGTTTCATCACATCATGTGGATGATCGTTGATAAAGTGCTCTTCAGTGCGATATTGAACATTAGCAGTGTTATACTTCATGCTATTTTCTGCTGTCCATCTTGCGATCAATGATCCAAATTGTTTCATGTTCATTCCTCCTATTATTGTAGTTATCTAATATCGAACATCATATATATTTAGGAATTGAAACCTTGATAATGCAATTGACTGTTTTCATTATTTTTATTTTGATTCTAGAAGCCAACGTAATCTAATTTCCAATGAGCATGTTTCCCCCTTGGATTTAGCTCCATCACCAAAAATAAACAGTCCTGGTGTCGCGTTATTAACAGGCGGCGATTTCGATTCACCCACTATCAGTCATTTTGAAAAATTCCAAGCTGATACAGTTCCAGCATCACAATCGGTTCCGATGAATAAATTCCAGTTCACAGAGAGTTCAGATCTTTTTAAATCAAATGACTCCGGAACCGATGTAAACGCCTATTCCAATTGTTCCACACCTGTATCTGAAAATAAAACAAAGGCCCAAGTAAGTAGTGTTTTAAGAGTAGTCTTTTTATTCCTTCCTATGATGTTTCCTCCTCTGTAAGTATTTTAAAATTTGATTATTTCAAATATTATTGAAAATCGATCTTATTGTTTGACTAGGAGAGTCTGTTTATACGTCAATCTGACATATATATTTAGTGACAAATTAGTGACATATTTTTCTGTCAGGCTGTTTAAATTCACAACAATTTTATCTGGTCGCATTTTTTTTTTCATTTAAGGAATGTTAAAAATTGCGAATATTTTAACCCGATTTCGAAATAGAAGTAGTTTAAGATAGTTGATTACATCACTACATTTTGATATCGTACTAAAAGGTGCGGTCTAACTAAATCCATGTGATATACTTACACTGTACTTTTCAAATAATATAACTTTGTAATTAATTGTTGATGTATTTTATCTGAAGATGAAATATTATTGTATAAATCAATTTTATTACTAAGAAATAAGAGAGGATACAAGTAATGAAAAAGATTGACTACCTATGAAATGAAATTGTTAGATCAAAGTTTTTTTTGAACAGATAAGAGGCAATAAACATTTATTTTGTTAGCTTCCCAAAAACTAAAGTAGGCTCAATGATTTTAAGGCCGTTTGTTGATTAGTTCTGTGATGATGGTTGTTTATCCTTTATCATTACCTGAGTTTGATATAAAAAGAAGTAATTTAATTATGGAAATAGCTTTTTAGATCGGTCTTCAACAATGTTCATTAGACCAGAAACATCACGAAATCTGTTCTTTACTACAACATATAAACAATAGCGTTGTTGTGTTATACCTGTTAGTCCACATATTGGATGAAATAACTGATATTTTAGATAACTAAACAACTACAAATTACCTAAACGGCTTAAAAACTACTGGAGAATCAAAACTTCAGTAAATGCCAGTAATATACAGTGGGTTTTTTTATGTGGTTGAATATTTCCAAGAAACTATTTATAAGGTCTATATAAAATTCAGATTTTAGCTCTGTATATGAAAAGTTATCATGTATATGTACTCAGATGTGTAAAGGTTCCAATCTTAAAACTATAATCAACTTTTTCTCATTTTGTATATCCTTCGGTAATTTTTATTTTGTCTAATAGCAAAAGTGACAACAAGTTCAGTAGCTTATCGAAATGTTTCAAACAATGTAAACAGATTGAAATTTCTTACAGATAAGAGTTTATCAATATTTAAGTTAATAATTATCATATTTATTTTGTCTGTAGAATAATAATAATAATACGGACAAAATAATCGATGTTTCTTCTTCAAATGATAATTCTGTCGAAAATTTTACCAAATGTAATCCAATTGAAATTGTTCGTGATCCCTTGTCGAAACCAGCTGCTATTAAAGCAGATAACTACAACCTTGAAGTTACTCCGGAAACAAAATTATCTTTTGATATGAGCTCTAAATTGAAGGATTATTCACAATGCAAATTACGCTTGTCATCAAGACCTGGAGTATCAGAAATTCATTGGGGACTAACAATAAAAGCACAAGGTCCTTCAAATACTTCTCCTTTTTTTATTGAACGCGTTAAAATTGGTAGGTTTTTTACAATTCACATGTTTTCATATATATATAACAACGTTTTTCCATTCCTATTTATTTTTTTTCTTGGTAGTAAGTAGTATTAGCCACCAATGAACAATGGCATAAATTTGTAGTAAACTAACAATCAAATCGTCAATAAAATTAGTACATGGATTGCTAAGACCGTTAAGCAAAAATGAGAACAAAATGTAGTAACTTTAAATGCCTTAAATAGAGTTAGTCATACGCACTATGTAATGTGATGCATGTGTACATCTGTTCGAAATCCCATTCTTGATTAATACAGCAACATGAAGCTGTTGAAGCAAATTGCAGAGTAGTAGTATTAGTAACAGAAATCCAGACATAAATAGGTGACATTTACATCATTCTAAATATGCTCCATAGCTTGATCGAATTATAGCTTACATATATGAAGATAATTGGATGGGTACGTTAGTTAATCTACTCATATATGAGATTTCATTAATGTGCTTTCTTTGAATACACTTTAATATTGAATACAGATTTTTTTCTATACATCTTTGTGTATCGATTTTGTCAGTGTTGTTGAAAAGTTTGGTAACTTCGATGTAATTATTGATTATTTCAGAAACTGCCTTTGCCTATTTGCAGTATGATATCCAAATTATATATAAAATAGCTTTGTCAGCAGTTCCCGATCAAGTTACTGTTCTCCAGTCGACTTGGTGATATTTTTTCTTACAATAAGCATACAACTTTGTTTATCCTGTCACAAACCTATGTTCTATCTTTAATTTGTCAGAGATCTCCCGAAAAGAATTTCATATACTTCAATTACACAATCGAGTTTTAAAGATGAATTATAAGAAGCAAACTAGTTAATTTATAATACATGAATGTGTTTGTTTGCGTGATTATATTGCTAGGAAGTCAACTAACTACATAAAAATTTTGAGATTACTGTGAATGTTACAATTTTACCGTTTACTAATTCAGTTCTTTCTTTCCAGTAAAAATCTAATTGTTTCCTTAAATTGATTTCAACGCACTTATTCTAATGTTGAAATATACCGGCCTTAACTTGGTGTTCATTCTTTCTGCGTAAATAGTGTTAGTACCAGCATCAACCTCTAAATGTTTGTAAATCAACGATATTTAGAATAAAATTTCACCGTATTCTGAACTTATTATACAAGAATCTTCTAAAAAACTAATCTTCTGTGAGTCCATTTGTATTGGTAGGTGGAATCTTCCTATTGATAGTTAGAGCTGCAATTGATCAGTCTGTTTTGGCTTATGTGCATCCTGTGCGGATTACCTGTAAATAGTTATTAGGTCACAAGCATTATAAGCAGAGATGGATTAGTGACCAGCAATGGAACCTAGGACGCGCTTATCTTCCTATTTGAAAGTTTTCAGGTGGATGTACCCCCATCCCAGATTTGAAATTCATCCTTACACTCAAACCTAGAACCATTCGCTTCAAATGCTATCACGTTATTCAATTAGCTACTGAGTTAAGACAGCCACTGGCCTGTGCTATAAGGTGGAGTTCAATTCATTTGTAATGGTAGTTTGAATCTTCCCAGTGACAGCACTGCACTTGTTCTACTGATATTGACTATCTGTCTCTGCTTATAATCTGTTGTGAGGTTTCTTCAGGACTTCATGATTTATTTTCATCCTCGTTTGGTATTTCTAGTGTCACAATAGGTACTCCCTCCCACCTTCTTAGTCACTAACACAACATTTCAGACTTTTTTTCCAGTTATAATTCTTCAGTTTGTTTCTTAGGTTTGTTCTTTTGGTGCGTGTATCAAAAGAACTAGGTTATTTTATAATGCGATCAAGAGAAATATCTGTATCTTACTAGTATAGGGGGTTTGATGAAGATTGCAGGATTTTCGTAGTTTAAATCATGAATCGATCTTAGCTAGACCATCATTAAAGGCTTGAAAGCACTGAAAGGTCGTTTAGTTCTAAGCATCGACATCATTGGATGCCAGCTTAGTAGTCTAAACGTTAAGCTTCCGCGCGCGATTCCTAATCCCTGGGTTCGATCCCCGGATGCAAGGTCATGAACGCACGCTTGCTGAGGACTTGCATTCTAGAAAGAAACGGCTGTCTAATGTTTCCAATCATGACCTAGCTGAGACGATAAGAATTATTCTGTTATTTTTGTGCGACACCAAAGCTCAGACATTCGATAACTGTAAAATCATATTTGATATAATGCTCCTCAGGTAAATCAGTTTTCCTTAGTTCATTGATAATTCAAGCTTTTTTATTCGGCATTTCTCAAACTATTTGTTTACATTTGTTTCATTGACATACAACTAGGTAGTTCAGCAGATATCTGTGAATTTCAGAAAGGTGATATATTAGCTTCTATTGATGGCGTAAACTTGGGTATAAGCCGAAAGAACACTGACAGTATCAGTAATCAAATTACGAAGTTAGGAGATCTAGAAAACCTGCTGGCTCAGTTAGTTTTGGCTAACAAACCGATTACTGTTCAAGTCTTCAGAAAAACGGATGAACTGGGTAAGAGCTAGTATTTTTCATAATACGAATCACATTGTTATTCATTTACCAATTTGAACCACATTCTTTATCTGATAATGAATGGTTTTGCCCGGTTTCTGAAACCGATGTATGTAGAGTGAGGTTTGGACCTGCAGGTGACCGAGTAAAACCCGGATCCCTTATCCTTTGGAATTATATATATATATATATATATATATATATATATATATCCTGGCTGTAGCTGCTAACTTGACGTGGTGCTCGGGCTTGCTTTTCGTGATGACTCAACCGAGCTTTATTGGCTGGAACGCCTATTCCTTTAGATCATACCATGCCAGGGAGGTTGGTTGGGGGGCCAAAAGCAGCAGCTTAAGTTCTGAGGGCAAATTTGTACTGCTGACTGTAGAGGAGTGTGACAGCAGTGTTTCCCTCGAACAACCAGCATCTGCAGCGATGCTGCCTTCTGACAACGGAAGGAAGAGGTTAGAAAATTTCTATCCTAAAAATGTCACACCTCACCTTGCCTCGCCTCTCATTTCCTTATCATCTAGCGCCGCCAACGCAAACGATTCGACTGCACGAAACGTTATCCCTAATCTCCTGAAACGCAGCTCTAAACTAAACATTAGGACCTTGTGCCAAACAGGACAACAGGCTTCCTCAGATAAGACTTTAAAGCTTTGCGCCACTATTGTACTCTGTGTCTCCGAAACTTACAGACAGAATCCGAGTAGAGACATTCATATGACCTCACTTCGTCAAGATAAAAAACCAACTCGACTTACACTTCGTGTATCTGGAAGCCCCACTTCTGCTTCCTGTGGCCTAACTGTTGGGGGTAAAGCATTGAGTTTTAAAGCAGATCTAGTTCTCCTAGGCTGGATTCCAGTAGACACTCGCTTATTCGCTGTTCGACTGAATGAGACAGTAAGGATTCGGATATATTGAGACACTCCGTTGCCTCTTCGTTGTTTCTGCCTATGCCCCGACTGAGTGCAGTTTAGATGAAGTAAAAGATGGATTTTACGGTAAGCTATCTAACCTTCTGGAGCACATGTTTAGACGCATATCATGCTCCAGTACGAAAGCGTATTTGTCTGCGACTTACTGGACGGAATAAAGACATAGCAAGGAAACCCGCTATAGTTCTACTTAACTATAAAAAAGCCACGAGAAAATTTTAGCGATGACTAGAAAAATAGACAACCTTGTGAGAGTTACCCACCCCGAGGCAGCTTGGGATATTATCCAGGAAGCTGTGAGGACAGCAATGATATCTGCCAATAATCTAAATCAGTGGATTTTCGTGACTTCTACTGAACTGATAGATGTTTGGAAACTTATCGTGTATGGCTCTGAATCACGAAAAGCAGAGTCAGCTTAAACCAAGGCTGATAAAAAGCTTACTCAATGACTGCCAACGGTAGTGTTTAGCGAAAATAAAAGAGACAGAAAAGGTGGCGGTGATTAGGTAACAGCAGGCAACTGTTCAAACTTATCAAAGAAACTAATATTAGAAATCCGGCCTTTAGCGAGTCTCCCTCAGAAAATGATGGGTCTGTTATTCACTTTCATTTCAAGAGACTGGATCGATCGACAGAACAATACGGGGAACAGTTCAACTGGTCTTCAACCACACTTAGGTGGTCCACCATCCCCAATCAACCTGGATGGTGAATTGATGTAAGTCCTCCAACTCTTAATGCGGTCGAAAAGGCTATAGGTAATCTAGGACGAGTGAGAGCAGCAGGCGCTGAAAGATCACCCGCTGAGATTTTTAAGGATGGTGTCCGAGTTTTAGCAGCAAGATCGACTGAGATTCCAGGTAGGATATGGGATTTGGATTTAATCCCATCTGACTGGTCTCAGTCACTGGTCGTCCCGGTCTATAAGAAAGGATAGAATTCTTCGCGTGACAGTCACCGAGGAATCAGTTTAAGTAACACAACGTCTAAAATAATAGCTTCAATAATAGTTCAATGGACAACTAGAGCTCGTGAGAGGAGCACACTGGAGAAAACTAGGCTGGTTGCCACAACCTGAAATGGATGTATAGATCAAATATTCACATTTGGTCAAGTCATAGAACATGGACACATTCCGATGACCAAAAGTAGTTGTATTCCTTAAACATAAGGCTGCGTTGCGTTTGATTCTGTCGATTGTGAGGTTCTGTGACAGTGTCAATCATTGAAAGGTGTACCGAGAGTGTTAATTAACCTTATTCAGGCTCTCTACCCAAACACTACTTGTCGAGTCAGAGCACGTGGCGAACTGTCGTCGTCTGTCAACCAGAGAACAAGCTTACTGTTCAGTACTTCGCTTCGTTCTACTATATGGGTGCGAAACATGGCTAGTAAGAATAGGGGATGTTCGTAGGTTACTAGCATTTAACCCTGGTTGTCTTCAAAGCATTGATCGTATGTCGTGGGACCATCGAGTAAGCAACGCATTTATTAGGAAACGAGTGCCAGGTAAAGGTGGCGAATCACTAGATGAAGTAGTGAAACTTCATCAATCGAGGCGATTAGGACAGGTGTTTCATACGCCCAACCACCGACTGCCTAGACGAGCGATGTTTTGTGGTGTAGGGATAGGCTGGAAGAAAGCTAGGAATGGCTAAACCGAAACATAGCACAAATCCATGAGGTCGCTGACAACTGAACTGAGCCATGTTAGTAGGTGCATACTACCTGGTTTGGGTCCGTGAGACTATAGTAACCGGTGGTTAGAGACTTTGAATGAAATGGCTCACAATCATTTTCAGTGGCGCAGGCATATCCATTCTTTGTTTTCTCTCAAACTCTAATCTTCCTCATGACATTTATTTTTCTCTTTTGAATTTATTTCACTGAATTATACTTATCGCTTCATATCCTCGGTCCGTAATCTTTTTGTTTACCATTAATACTGCTATAATCTGCACAACTATGGGATTTGAACTCACAATTCAATCTCTCTGTGTTAATATGTTATGGCAACTTGAACTGATGTACGTACGTACAAAGTTCTACTTTGTAGTTGATTGACTGACATATATATATATATATATATATATATATATATATATATATATATATATATAGTCAGTCAGTCAGTCAGATGCAACGTAGAACTTTGTACATATGTACATCAGTTCATGTTGCCATACCACATCAGCACAGAGAAGTAATCGTCAGTTCAAATCCAATAGTAGAAGAGGTAGTAAAGGTATTAGAAGTAATCGGAGAGGTTAGGATTAGAAGATACTATTCACGAAGTATGATTCAGTGAGAAAAGTTTAGAAAGTCGAAACTTGAGGCGTTGAAGAATCCAGAAGACTAGGGTTTGAGAGAACACAAAGAATAAACGCACCAGCGCCATTGCGAACGATTTTGAGCCATGTCATTCAAGGTCTCTAACCATCGATTATTATCATCTCGCGGACCCCAACCAGGTAGTCGACAATTACCGACATGGCTCAGTCCACTAGTCAATGACTTCATGGATTTCTGCAATGTTTTGGTTTGGCCACCCCTAACTTTCTTCCAACCTACTCCTACACTACAAATCATAGTTGGTCGAGGCAGTCGGTGGTTCGGCATACGCAAGACATGTCCCAACCACCTCAACTGATGAAGTTTCACCACTTCATCTATTGATCTGCCATCCTTACCTAGTACTCGTTTCCTAACGACGGCTACAGTATGATAAAATCCTCAATAGAGTGTTGATCATCTTTAGATTAATCGTGTCTTGTCAATACAATTTTCATTTCAGAGTATTAATTTTCAACAGTTTACATTTGTTTGTCTTAATCCTTTCAATTTTGTTAGTGTTGTGTTATAGTATAGTTAACCTTTTATTGTATCTTTAGTAACTATATTCTCTTGTGTTGTTCTTTCTTTTTTTTTTTAATGAAATATTTGTAGTCATTAGTTTGTTTTGTTTAGTTTTTTTTTTGTTAGAAAAAAAATCATGATATGATTTTATTAACCCAATCAATATATAAAAGAAATCTCTTGTTGCAATTGCAACACTAAACTCAAAAATTTCCGACCAGTTAATTATTCTTATCTTCTACATGCCAGGAATTCTCTAGAAACTAACATTCTAATAAATTTTTACTTATTCACTACGTGAAGCTTTATTATTAATAATGCTATCATTATTATTGTTATTATTATTACTAGTATTATTAGTTATTTGCATGCATACTCTGTCTTAACAGTTTTCAAAGGTTGTTCCCTCTTCCTTTTTTTTCTTAACATTGTCACTTTTTAAATATTGTTTTTTGATGTTCAGCGTTGTTCATAAGATAACTTAATTTTTATTATTACTTCACGCTTGAAGAGTGTAAATTTTGATCACCACCTCTAAGCATTAAGTAAAAAATATATTCTTATATAAAAAGAATCAATTTTACTACCTTCAATTTAATTCAAAAGTACACTAAGTTGTCTTTGCCCACCATCTGGTATTTCGTCACTAAATAAATATATATTATTTTAAAAGATTTTGAACATTTTTGATAAGGAAGACACTTGTATAATTTGACGTAAAATACACTAATTTTTTTGTTATATAACGATTCAACTAGAAATATATATTTTTTTACAGATAGATATTCGTTAACCTTACTATTATTTATAAGTGTAAGGAAACGATTCAGTGTATGTAGACAATGGTCTACAAACTAATCAATAATTTGCAATTAGAGTTTTGGAGGTTTGTGTTTTTACACATTTGAAGTCATCAATCAATCATTGTTAGACCACCATTAGAAACCTGGAAGCACTGGACGGTCGTTTCATCCTGGTATGGGACTCATCAGTGGCGGCGCGCACCAACGACTCCTGCACCTCGTAGGATTTGAACTCGGGACCTTCGGTATTGTGCGCGAACGCCTAACTATCGGACCACTGGGCCGGCATCCAACGGTGTTAATGTCTAACTCTAATTGATCTAGGGATTTTGCGCGACCTCACCCATTTGTCTTTGGCAGTTACTGCCTACACCTGACACGGTTGAACTCCACTGGTCACGTCTTCTCAACTAGAACTCCGAGAAGTTCCTCACGAAGCTAGTCACTAGTGAACACATTTTACGATATTTTCAATTAGAGTTTTGGAGGTTTATGTTAGAATGGAGAAGCCTGATAATACACCTGTAATCAGCATGCATCACTATGAAATGTTTCATTAAAAATAACGTACCAAATAGTAACAGAATAAAGGCATCTTTTGAAATGAAATTCTGTAAGAAGACATCATACCAGTAGTTAGTGAAGTTTATCTTTATCATTAGAATAACCCATAAGAGATAAATCAATAATCATTTTCAATATTTACTTGAGAGTTTTGAATTTATTCGTATGATTTTTGTTGCAGTAACATGAATTACCTAGCTTTAAGAACAAAAATTAGGAATATGCACAAGTTTACTAATTGAAGTATTACCATATCACATATCATTATCATCAGTTATTTCATTAAATTTTCTTTGTGTTTATTGAAATACGTGGTTTGTTAAATTTATGTTTGTAAGACAAAAGTAATCCATCTCTCTATTTGCACCATAGTGCCGAATTAAGTATTCTGCATTAAATAATTTAATCAATCGTTGTTGTTTTAAATTCATGGATTCTTGTCTTAATTGACTGACATGCACTCTCAGTTGTTATAGGTTTTGGATTCATTTCTAAAAACGATACAATCGTATTTTCATGGGATAACTAATGTCTGTTCATAGTGAGTGGAAATCTCTTAAAGCTAATATTATTATCAATGATTATCTTCTAAAGTTTATTGAAATAAGCATGAGTCATATAAGGAGTTGATGAATGTACAGAATGAGAATGTATATATATATATATATATCTATTGACCTGGAATTTAAGTATGATATTATGAAGAGTTGTTTGGTCAGAACTTTATGAGAAGCATCTTATTCAATTTCATTGTGGGTTGCCCATACTACTAACTCACTGGTGCACGTTTGCGCATAAGATAAGCTATATCGTTTGACTAGTTAGACATGGACTCCTTTGTTCGTCTGCTTCATTGAACCTAGATGCATAGGTTTTTCATCCAAACACTTACATATACATATTTTTACATTGTACAAGCGTTGGTATAATAATGTCTAATCTAAAGTTAGATTCGTATGTATACAAGCACAATTTGTAAAATCCCTTTCTTTACCGCAACTTTAGTTTCTTCTGAATTTTACTGTACGTACTACTTTCAAAAAATATTTTGGTTTCTGTTTATTAACTCCCCTGTTATCTTTAAATCATATTGCATATATAATCGTTAATTGTTTACATCCGAATATGTTTTACCTTTAATTTATTCATTGCATTCTATTTATTATCATATGATCAATCACCTTTAATCAATTTCTATTCTCATTTTATGCTGACCTTCAGATATTCACTTAAAAGAAAAAAATCATACCTTAATTTCTCATTTTATGATTGTGTCTTTCATTTATGTCTTTCATGGCCTGCAATTACTAATCAGTTTGATGGTTCATTCATTAATAATTAAACAGTTTCACCTACTATTACGAACTGTATAACATGATTCCCACCCATTATACGCATGCATAGTAACATGAACATAAAAACATTGATCACATAAATTACCTTGTATAATACAGGTTTTGAAAATAAAATTGTAGAAAATAAGATTTTCTTTATTAAAATAAACTTTTGTTGTAGGACGTTTTTTTGGCTAATATTTTAACAGTTAACTCTTGATCCATAAAATGTTTCTAATTTACTGTGCATTTCAGATGAACTCAACGACGGAGAATCAGATACAGGTGGAGATTTTTCTGTCGAATCATCAATCATGAAATCCCAACGCACATTAAGTAACATCAGTGATTCCGATAGTAAATGCCATGAGGTACTTGTTTCTCCAGTTACCGTAGTTCCCCATAAAACTTCTCATGATGACACCTCAATGTTAGGAAGATCTATCACAATTACACATTCACTTCATAGGTCACCGTCCCAAAGCTCAATTCAAGTAAGTTATCTTTAGTTAATGAATATACTTGTTATCTCTTGCAAATGGTTGATATATAGTCATCAAAAGGTTTTATAAGAACGGGCATTCTCCCCTAACACTGAAAAAATGCTTGATAAATTAAGAGGACTGAGAAATGCCCTATAAAAATGAGATTACAGTATTATGAAAAATTAAAAAGAAAACAATTTAACCAATCATTGGGAATTAAGATCAATAGGCATTAAATAATATCAATTCGTTTTTTGTACTTTATTTCAAATAATCAGTTATTCCCATTATAATTGCTGTTACATTATTTCGATCTCTTCTGCTAATTTCACTTCATTCGTTCTAATGTTGTAGTCTTACAACTTTGACTAACGCAAATCTTTGTTAGGCTTTGTGTTGATGGTTGACTGACTGTTTACTCTAAAAAAAAAACTATAATTTACCTCACATATTATTCAAAGTATATTGTAGTTCATCACAATTTTTATTTCGACCTGATTAATTTGCCTTGAACAGCTGTTATTATGATCTATTTTCCGCTCAACTTAATACTTGATGTCATATCATGATGAGGTTAAAACTTGACTATCACCAATACTTTCTATGGAAAATACTATATTTAATCACTTTATTTTCATTTGTTTTATTCATCTGTTAATTTCCTTAAAGATTTCCGATGATGAAGTTAACAATTCATCTGTGTCAACTAACTCCGAAGGAAAAGAGTATGTTACATTCTAAATTAAAAAAAAATTATAACATTTATTTGATTTAAACATTCTAAAAATTATTTTATGTATATTTACTGTAATTTTTTTGTTTATTATTGCTTAGTTATAAACTAAAAACTAAGTATCTCATATTTTCAGTGAACTGAATAGTTTTTACTCTCCATTGTAACATGCTACTTGAAAAATATACCTCTGTTACATTTTATCAGTATAGGTTTATGGGTCATTATTCAAGTCATTTGACTATCATTCGATCAGTCACGAGTTCAAACGTACTTCATCTCTCTTAGTTTTACACTCAGGTGGTATCGCTGTTGGCTCACACAATGACAAGATCACCGTACATTTATGTGCTGAGAAAGATTTTGAATGATGCTTATTTACAGATTCTAGCAAAAAATAAGTATTTTATCTCTTACTTTGTTATTTTTTCCTCTCAGTTTTGTCATAATCCATTAGTAGCGTACTTTAATAGTACATCGCTTTTCGATGTACTGTAAAAAATTAAGTTTTTCTTTAGCTAATGGAAATAATTTTCAAATGAGCAACTGTAGAAAGAATTTCGTCAATTGATTGCCATTTGTCTATTGTTATGTTCGATTTTGAAGATAATAAATTACAAACTACAAAACATTTACTCATATTAACCCTTAATGTCCTGTATTCTTTGTGACTGCTTATATTCCCTGACTAATAAGCTAAAAGATCAGTCAATTATTAGTAACGTAAAAATCTGACCTAAATCTGTATCAACAAAAGTCGTCACATTGCATCAGTACAATGAGATGAAATTAGCAACATAAATACTAAATCAGAAAAAATAGTATTAGTAATAGTGTAGTGAAGGAGAACACCGGTGGGGCAACCGAATTGTATTTAACGAAAATTACAGAGTTACTCAGTAAAAATCGGAAAACCATATCGTAAATCGTTAATTTGCAAAATATCAGTTCATCATATCAAACTGGACTGTTCCTGTTGCAAAACATCAATCCATTGTCACTCACTATTCATGCGTTTCATACAAATTCCATTGTTTTCTAACTCTTCCTTTCTTGACCTTCCCCCATCTTCTGCTGCCAGACATTACGTTGACACTCACGTCATATACTACTTATAAGTAGCTCGCACCACAATAGTACCAATGATGACACAAAAGAGTAGTCATGGAAAATATAACTCGAGAAAAATGAATTTATCTGGATCACTGCAACTTTTTTGATGCTGAAATATCTGATAAAATCGTAAATAGTACAAGAATCCTCCTGTTATTCACTTATTACAAAATAGCTTCTTGTCATCGTTGTTAAGAGGGAGTACTTTTATGTTAAATACATCTGTAACAAATGTTTGAGTCGGCACACCGTACATAGTCAACGTTGTCAACAACTAGATTTACATACCAGATAAATTTTTTAAGTTTGTCTTCAGATTTTTTTCTTCTTTTCAGGTATTGTTTGTAATCACTTCGATTTGTGCCAGATAACGTGATATTAACAGGTTTTACTGCTATTTTCTTCACTGCATTTTTAGTTGTACATCGTTCACTATTTTTAACTGCTTAACTTGTTAGCTAGAAATATTTATTTCCCTGCTAGAGCTTTACTGATTACAATTCTATTTTATAAATACACAATATATTTTGACTTACCATTTGTGTTAATGCTCTGGTCGACCAACGGTAAAATGAAATCACTCTTCAAACAATGCCCCACTGTCTTTTGAATCAGACCTTTAGGCTCGATTCTCTGGGACTAGCCTCCGAAGTAAATTGCCTGTTTCTGTTAGGGTACCCAGGGTGTGTATTCAAACACATATAAAATGTTTTGTAAAAAGTATTGTTTTTGGTGAATTAAATTATCATTAACAAGCTATACCTTTCTATCTGACTATTTTTCTAGTCATTTTACTCTGATAATGTTTTTTTTAAACGATAACATTATTGTTGTGACAATTTCTTCCTCTTATAATAACAGATACAACTATCTGAAAGGAAACTTTAACCATTCAACCGAATCAATCAGTACGATTAATAAGAATGAGATTTGTTCACCATTGAAATCATATCAAGATAAATCTAAAAATGGAAGTAAGTAAACTCATTTATACTACAGTTTGATTTTTGATTCATGTAGATATCATAGCATATCCATTGTTTATGTTTATTTGATTGTTTGACTAACTGCTAAGTTATGCACTGAGGTATATATATTATTGAATAATTAAAATAATCAATTGGTAATCACTTCCTTTGTTCATATGACTAGTTTAATTTGAAAAATCAATTTTAAAATGATGCTTTTTTGATTGACAAGTATAGTTCATAGATAACAGTATGTGTACGTCCGTGTGTACGTGATAGATCTTCAAGATTTCCTGTTAAGAATTCTAGATATCTTTTACTCCCTCTTTACTTATTTTTCGTGCGTATGTAAGGATATTGATATAGTTATTTATGAAATGATCCGTTTGCTTACTTAGAGATGCTACGTCAGTGCATTCATTGAAGTCAACACTAAACTGTGATAAACTGTAAACTACTGTTTTCCTAAGTATCTTTCATATTCCATTATATAACCTGTGTTATGATGAACTAAGCCAACTTTAAAAATCAATCTTCCAAATTCACTTCTATACACTGTTCTTATCAGTTATCTACTGAGGAGTCCCATACCAGGACGAAACGGCCGTCCAGTGCTTCCAGGTTTCTAATGGTGGTCTAACATTGATCGGTTCATGGTTTCAAAAATGTGTATCTATTCTTTGTTGTTTCTATACAACACAAACAATTATCTTTTCTTTTAATTTACCTGAGTAAAATAATTTTTCATTTATAAAATTCGAAGAGTTTTCTATTTTCAATACAACTGTTTCATCTCCACCCGTCATAATTCACATCTTGTTTCATCATTGAGTCTATAATATAACTATGATAATCTTTTCAGCTTGTAATAGTGTACATATAGTCGAAAATATTTATTCTGCATAATAGTATTCAATCTGTCAATCTTCAGTCTAACTCTTACACTTGATAGTTCCACTCTTAGAAGCTTGAATATTGATACTTCTTTTGAAAACTTGAACATAAATGTTTACAATAATAAATCTGTTTAAATTATCTATCAGTTGATCAATTTTTATTAATCAGATAATACCTGCATAATTTTTTTTTACTTACTCATTGTTATGCAACAGCAGCCTATATGACCTTATTGTTTCAGCATTTAAAGTGTCTGTAATTCTTATCTCCACTGTGTGTCTTTTCTTAGTTTCGATGTACATTTATTGATTTTTTTTCTCACTTTCACCTCTTCTCACAAAGTAAACCGTCTGGAATTTTGCATAACCTTCATAGGTTCATTTAAGGTCAGTCTGATCATGATACATTACCTCATTTTTTACTACTTACATTCAATTTTTTTTTCACAACTTTCTCTTTCTAAAGTCGTGCATTGATAATCAAACATATCCATTAAATCAGATAATATATTGTAAACATGTATATACATGTTATCATTATATGAGGAAAAGAATTCATGTTTTGTTCAAAATGTGACTATGTAGTACTTTATCTCGTCTAATTTCCGTAAATTGCTCCAAATGTTCGAGTTGAAAAAACCCTATGGACCCAAAATATAAGGCGAAGACACAAAATGAGAACAGAAGCTTTACTCGAAGGTTAGTTTTCATGCACAAACCAAGGCTACTTATAGGTGAATGAATAACCCTGACATCCTGGAAAATTTTGGGGGCATGCTAAAATTTAGTAGCAGGGTATGTCGTTCTCCAGTCAGAGTATGACACGCAAATCCCCCTTTCTGTAGAGAATTTAGGGAAGTTTCCATCAAGTTCTGATTGAACGAAATGGTTTCCATCTATTTCCTGTTTTCTGAAGACGTTTTCGGGTAATTCTCGGTTCGTGACAATTCTTCAAATTTCTCCTGTAGTCACTACTACTTGAAAAAATCTACCTGGGCTGCAACTCTTTGTCATTATAGTGTATTCATTATCAATATGTATCTTAGGAATATGAATAACACTTTTAATCAACTCTTGTGTCGAGTATCTTGAGAACTAAACGAAAATTTCAAGGTATCGTGTCTCTTTATAAACTTCTAATATTTTTACAAAATATTCCGTTATTTAAGAACTTCCATTTAAAGTAGGTTATTATTTGTCAAGCTTAATTTTTGATATCAAACGAGAATCAATCTATACAAACTTGAAAAATGTATAGCCATATGATTGTTTTTAGAAAGTGATATACCACTATGACACAAAATTAGAGAAAGTGAAAGTTTTATTTGAATTTATGAGAAACAACAACCAATTGAACAGTTTGATTGAACTTAATAAATAAATAAAATACAGATCATTTGCATAAATGTATATTAAATTATTTGCATTTATTTATCCTGTTACAACATAACATAACTTAATTTTCTGTTTTTTTTTGTGTGTGTTTTACTATTTATCTGTGTTTTCTTTCTTGTCGAAAATAAAAAAAAACTGCGTTGTTCAACTTATGTTGTGTTTGTGAATTATACATGTTTGTTTGTGTGTGTGTAAAAACATATATGTAAATAAATATGTATATATATATATACATAGTTTAAACATTGTGGTTGCTGTATTTTGTTTGTCTAAGTGTGTGTGTGTGTGTGTGTGTGTTGATAGATGTGGTAGATTTATATGAGATCTGTTATTTCGATTTCTTCCATATGCAAACTATTCTGTTATTGTTGTACTTCTTCTACCGGTAGTTTTTTTTCGTTTATTTGTGTGTGTGTATGTGTGGACTTGTATACCGTTTTATTTTTTCTCGATGTTGTTTATTGCTTGATAGCTGAATTCTATGTGTGTTGCACTTTCATTATTATTATTATTATTACTGTTTGTGGGAGAAAACACCAACACCAAAAACAAAACATTTTACACATTGATTGATATCTCCAATTGTATTCTTCATCATACTTGATCATCTATTGATGTGTTTTTCTGTCGTTGTATGTGTTAATTTTTGCTGAGTTTGATCATTCATATATGCACATATATTACATACTTTTATTGTAGTGCATTATTCCGTGTTTATTTTATTTACAGTCAATTTTTTTCTATGATAAATGTGTATCTTTTTTTTCACTTACAGTTGAATGGGTGTCAGCTCCTTTAGAGATTAAAGAGATACTCAATTGATGCTGTCATTCCTTTTTATTGGTGCTTTTACAATTTACATCACTTTCATACTAGTTTAACTAGTGTTATTATGATTTTGCTTCGTTTACTGATATATGTGTATGCCTTTTAGTATTACATCTTTAGGATTTTATCATTGTTCACATGATTCGTTTTTAGTATTGATAAATGCAGTAATTTCTTCACAGTTTTTTCTAGTAGTATTGCGATTTTTTCCCCAGCATTGTCACACCTATTTTGAGCATCTGTTGTCATTCACTTACTCTATACTGTTCTAAAACTACATATCAGGTGATCGTTTAGATTATAACTCTCCAATGATACTCAAACTATTAGTACTTTTTTGCCCTAATGGGAGAGATTTTAAATTTTTCTCTATTGCCAACGAATTGCCGCAAATGATTAATGCAATGTACATATCTCAGTTATTTATTTAAGCCTAGTCTTAATCATGTTTCAAAGAATCTCTGTGTTTGGTTGGGCAAAAAACCAACACAGATGAACTGAATACTCGGCTCAAAGCATTCGCCCTTGAATAATTCATTCAATTTATAGTAATTTCAAAAGTGCACCATTTATAATCTTATGTAAAAAATTTTGTATTTGACTATCGTATAAAACTTTTTTCGGTTGATGTTACATCATTATAACTGTCATATAATATGATCATTTGTCTCAAAATATACATATTACTTACATCAAATCTAACTACTTGCTCGATTTTTCCTTTTCTAAAGTTCATGAATAAATGGTTACTGTTTTTTAATCATCTTCTGTAGTAATAGAAGTAAAAAAATCAATTTTTTGCGTTGAAAGATTCCCATGATAGCCCATATTGCTAATTTTCATTCCTAATAAATCGTTGTTTAAAGCCATTAGTTCCTTTGATAAATTTAGATAGTGTTATAAGAACACGATGATTATCAGAGCTATGTGATGTATTAGCGCAGCACATTGGGAACTATCTGATCACACATTTACTTGTTAAAAACATGTGTATATGAAAATATAAGGTTAACTAGACAAATGATATGTAACAGCATGCGAGACCAAATTGGTCACAAAAAAATCCTTCCTACACTCCCTAATATCTCTATTATCTCCACGACTAACTCAACTCACATTCCTTCATCTCACTATACCGCTAATGCAAAAGATGTGAGTTCTTGAAAAGTTATTCCTGGTCTCCTGAAACCCCGTTCTAGATTACATGTTGGAGCTTTTAATGTACGGAAATTGTTTCAAACACGGCAATAGGCTTCCTTAGCCATCGATGTATGCTGCGTCTCGGAAACGTGCATACAGGATCCTAGTAAAATCATTAATTTGATTATACCTTGTCAAAATGAAGAAGCAGCTCGATTTACTCTTCGTGTATCGTGTAGCCTTGATGCTACTTCTCGTGGTCTCGCTGGTGTAGGTATAGCATTGAGTCGTAGGTCAGAACTAGCTCTCCTTGACTGGATCCCAGCAGATAGTCGCTTTTGCGCTATCCGATTAAACGGGACAGTAAGGACTCGGAAAGATAGGGACACTCGTCGTTGCCTCTTTGTCATATCTGCCTCCGCTCCCACTGACTGCAGTTCAGACGAGGTGAAAGATGAGTTTTACAGAAAGCTTCCGGACCTCCTCCAAAAAGTTAGGCACTCTGATATAGTAATAATGGCTGGTGACTTCAATGCTCAAGTAGATAGACCAAGTGAGCAAGAGAGACACCTTGGTGGATGTTATGGTGTTGCGGCTCAGAGGACAGACAATGGCGACCGTCTGTTGCAAGTATGCTCAGATAACCGCCTATTCCTGGCAAACACTAACTTTAGCCATGAGGTAAAGCATCTGTTGACCTGGCGACCTCCAAATTCGTCTCAACGTTGGACTCAACTGGATCACATC